CTGATATTTGTGTACGTATTTACCTAACATTTCATCCTATCCCACCATCGGAATGAAGAAGAAACTCGGAGACTAACCTAGCTATAGAATCTGAGATCTGGAGTTCTGCGACATCACAATGTAATCTCTTCCTGAAAAAACAGTATCTGAGAAAAGCGGTTAATTTCACTGCTCATAGCTAATAGTCCAAAATTTCCATGATATAATCTACTTTAGTTGCGAAATTAGACTGATTTCCGAAAGCGCCACTATAGCTTTCTTAATTATCTTTTTCACCCAATCTAATCCGGCTTTCTGCTTTAGCCGCTCAAGTATGCACCTAAATAGGGATATCTTATCTCCGGATTGTTTTTCAATAATTTTACTTTGGTAGTATAGGGAAGCAGGCTTGTTGAAATGAAGCAGGAGAAAAGTAAAGTGAAAAAAATGAAGTGAAATTACTTACGCGAGGCAGCTTGTATAGAACATCGGGTCCGGCCTGGAAGCAAGTTAGACGTAAGCAAAGATATACTAGAGAAGAGATAAACTTACCAAGACTAGCTTACTCCTTTTGTCAAAACCGCCGAAACCACTGCCGGAGAGCGCGTCAAAAGCTCTTTTGTTGAATGGAGTCAAGCCAGAGCCGCTCTAAAAAATGTAGTGTTTGAGTAGTCACCGGTGAAGGGGGAACTCCTTGAATGTAAAAATCGCGTTATTGCGAAAATCAAATGCTATATCTTACTTATCATATCATATCAACGGTTTTTTTATTTTTACAGCCTCTTTATAAAAAGCGATTTACGTAGTTCGAGTGGCCGTACTAAATGTTGAACAAAATGAAATTGTGCTAATGTGAATTTTTAGCTCAAGCTCAGATTACTCACCAATGAATCGAATGCACGTTTATCGAAGCCTCCGAATCCTTGTCCAGCCTAAAAGAAAGTGCTATACGTTGGGGAATTTTTTTTTCGCAGATATATGCTCCTCAAACTTGTTTATTTTCACTACTTACAGCATCAATATTCAAATGTTTTCAATACCTTTTTTTCTATAGATGTAGGACTAACGAATAAAGCCTTATTACAGTTATTTTGAATTTGTAAGAAGCTACGAGAGTGGGAAAGCCTTTACAACTGCTTCTCATTACACTTTCAAGCATTTTGATCTAACTTAGTAAAAAGGACAGAAAGAACTTACAAAAGAATCAAATGCTCTCTTGTTGAACCCATCGAATCCCGATCCGGCCTGTAATTGTGACAATTAACTTTGAGGAATCCACCCAGTAACAGAATAAAAAGAGACCAGATTTGGGGAGCCTCAATAAATCAAAATAGACCTACCAGTGCATCAAACGCTCGTTTATCCAACCCAGAGAAACTGCCAGCCTGAAAATTGTGTATATTAACAGATTTTAAAATTATTCAAGACCAAAGTCTTGCTTTTGAATGTGAAAATATTGTGCAATTATGAGTAGGAATTTTCACGAGGAGAACTTACGAATGAGTCAAAGGCTCGTTTTTGTCGGGATGGCGCACTGGAGACGATAGCCTGAAAAAAGCGCATTTTTTGTCTT